CTTCTGAAGGTGTTAGGAAATTATTTGAAATACCTGGTGTTCTGGCTTTCACTTAGGTGACACAGTCTGACTCCAGGACTGGCACCTTTTTGTCAAGAGCCTTTCAGCCTCAACCCTGTGGTGCAAAAGAGAAATGGCACATTTGTTTGAGTAATGTCTTCACACCTTCCTCTTAAGAGCAGCAGCAGCAGATTCAGTTCACTAAGAATTATGACTAGTCCTTGCTGCAGTTTTCTTAGAATCCTTTCGCACATCATTGTCGCGTTGTGGTGTATTCCTTGGGTGCAATGTTTGAAAGGCAGAATGAACAGCTAGTGCTCTGCTTTGAGTCTGCTGCAGCATTTCCTCAAAAGGCTGTGAAAAGGAGATCAAAGTGGGGAGACTAATAGGGAGTTCTTAGCAGATGTGTGCTCAGGGACTTTTGGGGTGTAGGCAATAGAAGGAGAATGATCCAGAGTGATCAAATTAGCTGTCTTCATTCCTTTGAGCTCTTCTTTTAATGTTCTCATCTTTGACTTCCTTCCTTCAAGTTCATGCAGATTTTCAGTTTACTTCAGAAGTGCCATTATTGCAGTTCTGCTGGAGCTAATCAGATGTCATCTCTTGTTTATTCTGAACAATGCTGAAAATTTCTTTTAGAGAGCATTTTCCTAATCCAACCTCAAAAATTGTTCCGATTTCCAAAGAGCATGTTCTTTTGTTTTTTCTTTTGAAAATAATTTTCCCCTCTCCCATCCTTTTGATATACCTCAGTTTCTGACATTTTATTTTCAAATTTTAATTCTAAAATTGTACACCATCATCAATATGAATGCTGAAGTAGGAGTCAGAGCATGGAAAATCTGCAGGTTGCACAATAAAAGCAGCTTCAGCAACAAAGGTTGACCTGAGACAGAATAAAGTGTTTCCAGTCAGACTGTAAGAATTTCAAAGTAGGTCAGACTGGCTGATGGTGTCACGTTAAGCCTTGCTCTGAGATGGTTTTAAAAAGAACTCAGGAAAGTCCTTTTCCACTCTTTCATTCTTTTCAGACTAACAGAAAGGACAGGGCTGTCATTTGAAATAGAACCGGAATGTCTCAGAGATAATCCTGTGAGCTGGGTGACTGCTTGGATGCTAAAAACACCTCTGTGAATCAGAGAAAAAAGGGGAAAAATCTGCATTTGTCACTCCAAATACTGTGGTGTTTCAGACTCATTAAAGTTGTTAGGGATCCTGACTGGCGGGTGATACTGGACATTACTGGTGACACATCATTAAAAAGCCTCTCAACTGGTAATGACTGTGAGTTTGTATTATATGATTGAGGCACATTTTAGAGGAAGATATTAACAGCTTCAGTGGATGATCTAAGCAGCGTGAAAAAAAGTGGAAGAGACAGTTCTTTTGTTTAGCTGTCTCGAGCAATGGATGCTGGAGTGTAGGAGGAACTCATGGGGAAGAGATGTTTACACATGAATAGACTATACCCTAAAAAGCAGCAAACAATTACAGCTTGCTTTGGTTTGTTTGCAAAAAAAAAAAAAACCAAACGAATATCCTTAATATACAGCAAATGACTTTCTTTAACAATCTACTTCCAGCTCATCCTGCAGTGATGACCTGTAACAGTGGATCATCTGCAAGGCTGTAGATATACAGACATTGTTTTAAATTTCATCTTGATTTATTTCTAGCTCTAAGCCTGCCTCCTTTGTTTCTGCATAACAGGGTGGCTGTGCTCTAAAGTGAATGGAATGCCATGGAAAACAGATCTGCTCAAGAGAAGAGGGAATTTTCACAAGTACTTAAAACCTAGTTGTTTGCCAAATGCCAAGGCACACGAGGTGCACTGACCTGGGAAAAGGTGGTGATGAAAAAAGAACACTCTCCATTAAAAGTTTAAGGCAACATCTGTTTTTGTCAGATTCCCAGTAAAATCACACTCATCACTCCAAAGGTAAAACACAGTATCAGAAAGTAAATTACTTTGCTGAGTATATCCTCCCACCACATCACTCTTCAAACCACTCCTTTTTAGTGTACCATCTCAGTTCAGCATCCCAAATGATTCATTTGACTGATGGAAAAATACAAATCTGTGTAAACAAAGTATTCTGGCTACATCCACATAGCACTTTTCTACTGAGCTATTATTTACCTAAAATGGATTTAAAGATAGAGCATTCAGTCTTCCTAGGACAAGATGATTGCATCTAAGATCAGATGGAATATCCCTATTTCCCTCCCTACCCCGTATGGATGTAAATACCTTAAGTCCCTACATTATTTTCTATAGTTTCTTTTCTTTAGGGTAAGGTACTTCATTCATGCATGCATAATACAAGCAAGACAGTGAAATCCCTAGTAAGGAATATCTCAGACAAGCAATCTTTGTCTTAAGAATGCCCCTTAATAATTTCAAACATTATCCCCTGAGGCTTTTGATACTAAACTGTTCAGCTTCTGCTAAAAAGCACCACTATGAGTCAGCACATTCTTCTGACAGGTTTAACACTGTATATTCTGAACTGCATTTCAGAGAAAAAAAAAAGATCTGTATCAAAAAGTGACTAAATTCATTTGTGTCTGAAAACATTCACTTGGCATAGGAACAACATGAAACAGTCACTGTTCTGTTCCACGACTCATTTGGCAGTAATATGATGCTCACAGATACCTGATCTACTCCAACTTGCACAGAAAAGCTTCTTGATGAAAAATAATCATCAAATTAAAGCAAAAATAAATCCAGGATATCATGATTGATGTGTGAAAACACTAGACTTTTCTTGACAATCGGTTCGATAAATAAACTACCAGGTATTATATTCTGCTTGCCAGCACAGAAAACCAGCAAAAGAAACAGGCCTTCTTACAGGGTATGAAAGCTTTCACTGGTCTCCATACCTTCAAAACTGAGAACTGCTCATGACCAAGTATATGGAGAAAGTACATGGTCCCCAGGAATCCACACTGAGAAGCTGTTTTGGGTCAAGGCATGAATACACAATGACCTCTGGTCAAGAAAGTACAAGTGTGTGTCTCTCCCAGCAGCCAGACAGGGTGATGAGAGAAGAGTCTGCTCCTTCCCCTCAAAACTCAGAAAACAGAGATTAAAAGTTTTGCATCAGCTAAACCTTATCTTGTACTAAACCTCTGAAATGTTGCTTTGGGAAATAAAGCAATGCCAGGAAGAACTGTCAGGGATCTGACAGCTGGTGGGAGCTGTGTCCTACCTTTCAGCTACTGGGTTTGCTTCCTGGCTGCATTTTTCTGTGTCCTGCTTTCTCCCGTGTTGAGGTAATCTTAGCTGTTCAGTATGGCGTAAATACCAATGAATGTCAAGCTTTGTTTGCCCTTTCAGCTCCCAGGGGGATTTTCTTCGTTTTGTTCACATTGCTATAACTTGTTTTTTTACATTCTGTACAAGTGGATTTGAAGACTGTACATCATCTGCTTACCCAGAAAGAGATCTCACACCTGTTAAACTACAGGGTGGCAGAAAATAGGTTCTGTGTAATAAACCTTATTTCAGGGAGAATGAAAATTTCTTCTCTAAATAACAAAAGATGGAAAAGTCACAGTGAGTGTGACAATAGAACAGGGACCACTTTAGTGTAAGACACAAACAGAACTTTCTGTCCTCTCTTACCTGGACCCAAGAAGGTTACCATGTGCAAAGCAGATACATGGTTTCTCTTTTCTCTCAAACACAGAAACTTCCTTATCATGTATTTCATTATTTTTATGATGTATGAACTATGTTTCTATGATTAAACATATTCAGATGTTAACTGCAATTAAAAAGCATTTAAATACAATTCATGAGTGTGTCAAGAGAAAAAAAATATAAAATAGCTGAAAGAAACATAGTAAACAATGAGAATCCAGGAGAAGAAGCTACGTAAAACTTTGGGAGGTTGTTCCTGTCTATGAGGTAAACCAGCCTAAACAAACTCTGAGGTCCACAGCTCATGGTTTTGAGCTAAGGATATGGACAAATTAGCACAGTTGATAATGTTGTTATGAAATCTCATTCCTGTTGCTCATTTATGCCTCATCTAGCTACTGCCTTGGAGAAAGGGTGATTGCTCTGGCATGACCTCCCCACCCAAAGCAGTTCTCATAACTTCTTATTACAACTTCTTTTCTATTTCTGAACTGTCAGTAACTCCGTTTGATAAAAAGGCTCATAATGTTTAACCCCCAAAGTGTTAAGAGAGAAGATTATTTAGGGGGTGTTTCAACTGCCAGAAAAACGGGAAATTTTCTATTCCTTGCATATTAAAAAGATTCCTTTGGCTTGCCATGTTGTTCAGCCATGGCAGAAACAGACATAGATGAATATAATATTATGGGTCAGCAAACTTAAAGCTTTACCCGTACTCTGAACTGGCTCAGAACGTTTCTTTTTGGTATAATTCCTTATGCATATCCTCCATAATTTTCATTTAGTAAAGTTAATACCTATTGCTGTACAACTCCTTCAATAGAAAGTGTTATGTTAATGGTTAATGTTAATATGATGTTAACATTTGCTACTGGAAATAATATTTAACAAGCACAACACTGGTAATTTGTTCATGTTGGCTAAAATTAAATACTGAAACCAACTTTTGAAATACACATTTTTAACTGACAGGATACAAAGAAGAGAAATGATCATTGGAGCTGAAATGTTTTTAAAACCTTTACATTCTAATTTGCTTCATGCGTCGTTTACAGCTGAAAGGGTCAACATTTAGAATCTGTATTTAAGTCAATGCTAATGCCAATAAACTTCTGTTTAAATTAATGCAAAGTATAAACTCTACTGGAAAAGAAATGACTCAGTTTCCTAACTACTTCTAAAGTCTCAAAGTCTGAAAGAGTCTTAGAATGTTCAATACTGTATGTGCAAAACCGCGTTTAGTGTCTTCAGAGGACTCCAAGTGCCCAAATCTCTCTTCTCTTGGCACACATCAGACATTGGGGCTGTGCTTGCTGTCAAGCCAATGGTGACAACTCCTGGGACACTGTCACTCGTGGGTTTTCAAACAGCTGGTCTGGATATGGGAGATTTGCAGGACTGGCAGCAATAGCTGGAAAGCATCCTGAATATAAGTAGTGCTGTTGCAGCCCTAATGGGGAGAGAAAAGGTGTGTTTCATTGGTACAGCTGTCATGTACTTCAAGAATTACACTGTGCTTTGTATTTTTATATCTGCATCATGGTATATTAGCATATGTATTCACAGAAGATTTTAGTACCCCTAGATAAGAAAAATGATAAATTACAACAGTTTCCAGCTAACAAGGACAGCCTGAATCACTACACAAAAACCTGATTTCCCCTCGGTTTGAACTCTTGGACTGTTTTGTTGGTGATGTGAGTAGAATAAAATTGTTCAGAAGTAGATTTGACTTTTTAAATACAAACCAGCTAGTCTTTCCATCAACTGAACTAATTTTGAACTTGCTGTAGGTGGAAGAAGTGTCACTGAAATTAACAGTTCAAATTATTATAATGGTTTTAACACATAGTACTATTTTTGGAATTTTTAACACTGAACAGTGTAGCAGTTTGTAATTCTCCATGATCCTAGGCTGTACTAATACAAATCTGTATACAAATATGGGATTTAAGAAGTACCAAACATCGTTCAAGTGCAATATTACTACTCTAGTGTTTGTAGGAGAGGCTGAACACAAAATCAGGAGCATTATGAGCTGGCACTGAACAGCCAGAATGATATTGTCATCACTTTTTAAACAGTTTTTCCTTCAGACATAAATGAACCTGTCTCATTTCAAACCATTTTACTAGCATGTTTTCTAATGTGAAGAGGTGAAGCTTACCTCTAATAGCACACTGTTGAGGATGGGGTTAAGATCCTCTGCCTTCATACTGCTCTGTAAACCAGAAAATAGAATGAAATGCCAGGACAAGAAATACATTTAGCAGAATGATACTGATAGCTGAGAAGTGGCTGTATGAATTCTATAAAGGTCTTGCTTTCACCTCGATTCTTATTCAGACTTTATCTCAGTATTCCTGGTAACTGTGTCTACAATTCATACACACTTCAGTAGACCCTATGTATTTCTATCACAGAGCACAATGAACTCAGACACGCCCAGGGTTTTACTTCTTCATTAATTCATGCACCACAGAGCTTCAAATTGCCTACTTTCCTAGGCACGTGAGGTTTATGCAATTACATTGTCTGTCCATCTGTCTACCAGTGGCTTTTTCACCTCCCCCAAAAGTTTTACCCCCTTGCTCATTTTCAAGGAAACGAGAAGGAAAAATACAGGTCAGAAGGAAAGCAAAGTTCTTAGAAGGATGACAAATATTGGTGGTTAGGAGGAAATGAAAGGTTCAGATCAGCTCCCCTATAGAAGAAAAACCAGGTGAAACTCAGACCCCCAAACTGGAGTCAGGATGTGCTGCACAGGCTGGTGAAACAGCTCAGCATGCATGGCATTTTTCTCAACCATCAGATAGGAATAAAGATGGATACAATGAGTAGTGATGCTACTAGAGGCTAGAAAATCAAGATTCATTAGCTTCTCTGCTTTTTCAAATGGCAAAAGTTCTTCCCTTTTTGATTCTCACTGTTTTTTTGATTCTCTGTGTTTTTTCAGAATGACAGTAACCTCCAGCAAGAGGTGCTTGCTTTCAACACCAAACAAAATATTGATTAACTGAAGGATTTCCACTTATTACCTTGTACTTTTCATATTACAGACTTACAGAAACATGAAACACCTTAATTTTTGATTGGAACAAGATGGCAGAAGAAAGTGAAAATGGTTAGACAAAAGAAGAGCATTTTTACTGCCAAAACCAAAGAAAACCCATTACGAGGGTCACTGTTTAGCTGATTGCCAATAAACTGAAACAGAGAGAGAGCAGTATCAATTAAATACTATCGATTGCATGAATCAATAAGTTAAAGTTTGAAAGAAATATTGAGTGGCAAGCAAAGCTATTATTTCTTCCTTCTGCATTACTGCTCACTCAGAAACACCACCAGCATTACAGGCTACGTGTACAGCCAGAACTACAACTTAATAACTCTCTTCTAGAGAGTATTTTGGCAGTGCAAAGGATCTTTGGGCTCAGTTTCTTATATGTCTACACAAATGTCCACAAAAACAATTTGGTCCTAAAATTGAGTAGAGAGTTGATAAGAACAAAAGCCATGGCAATGCTTATGAAAGCTTTAGTTTCTAATTTTCTGAGCTGGGCAAGTTTAATATTTCATGTGCAGTTTGTTTTTATATATTTGTGAATGCATTTATTGCAAGTGTCCCACAAATATATGCTAAAATACAATCCCAAAATGCAAAAGAAGCATTTTTTCCCCAGAGTAATGGAAAGGAATGTAAATTATTCAGAATAAAAGCAACCCAATAAATCATGTTATTTACAAAGAACTGAAAAACCTTTCACAGAGATGTGCTGAAAGAGCTCACGGGAGAACTGAGAAAATTTCCTTTGAAGTACATTCATGTTTTCATGGAGCAATCAGGAGAGCCAGAATTCGTTCTTTGATGTTTACAGAGCAATTTCAGCAACAGCACAATTTTGAACTCTGAATCCTGCTGTAATACTCAGATTTCAGTCATCTTTGAAACATCTTGAAAGGCAGGATACTATTCCTAGCAAAGATGTTCACAGATAAATGGATGTTCCTAAATGGAGAGTATGATGTGATAGAAGTCAGAGTGATTTTTTTAAGATGGATGACCAAACAGATTTTCTAATCTCTTAAACCTTTTGAAAAAGGGGATTTAGTAAAGGCAGAGAAGACAGAAACCATCTTAAGGTACTGCAAGTATGATCTGTTAATGACTTTTACACAAAGGAATAGGCTGAGTAGGATAAGAAGTATCATCAAGCTGTGGAACTCCAAATGTGTGAGAAGTGTGTGGAGTGGTGATGAGGAAAAATGGGAAATGGTGTCTAGAGAGATTTTAGAAGGCAGGGGACACACTGCAGTCTATCAAGGCTTATATCCTGCTGTAAAAATGCTTTGTGTTCTTCATCTGAGGAAAGAAGTGGCCTCTTTGCTGATACCTCATATAAAGCCTCCGGACTCAGGTAAGAATTTCTGTTTCAAGAAGTGGTTAAAAAGAGCCCAAACACTACAGAAAATGCTGTCATCTTACCCCAGCTGCTGTTACAGAATCAGAAAACTTCTTTGATAAAGTTGAAACTTCATTGCACATGGCACTTGTTAAACTGGTTTAAAAAAACAAGAGAGACAAATATGAAAATACATATCCTTGTCCTGCCAATAGATAAAACCCCTATGACTGTCCCAGGCACAAACTTAAGAGACAAATATGAAAATACATCCTTGTCCTGCCAATAGATAAACCCCCTATGACTGTCCCAGGCACAAACTTCATCCTAGAAGCCAAGATGTTCATAAAGCAGTCTTGCTTCTAGTAATTTATTTTTAGGGATAGGCTTTGCTCATGACACACTTTTTATGTTCCTCCACTGCTGACTACAGCAGCAAAATTAAGTCCTGTTATTGCACACACTAGTCTTTGTTGATAGTGCAGTGCTTCAATTTTTTCAATTCTAAACTTCTAGTTTAACTGATTTTTTTTTTCTGATGATTGCAGCAAAGCAGCTCCAAGGAATACTGTCGGAAAGAAATCAAACTTGAGTGAGAACAGTGAGAAGTTTCCTATCTGAGCAATAAAACATCTACTGTGTGCTAAAAGGAGAAGCACACTTTTGGTTCACATAGGAGAGAACAAGGAGATCTGGTGCTATTCCAAGATCTTTCACTGTTTTCCTAGACATTCGCAAGTGCATCACACAGAACCTCATCGTGCAAGGTGCACCATACCTTAGCTCTAATTCTGACAAATACTTGAGCAAATGCTTTGTTTTAGACTGAAGTGTACCTATGGACTTTGCTACTCTTGATAGCATTCCTAAGGACAAGCACTTGCTTAAATACTTCCCTTAGGACTCAAGAATTTAAAATATCTTAATGTCAAAACCCACTGAAATCAGTAGACTTGATAACTATAGAGCTTGAGATCTGAATTTTGAGTCCCAGGAGATAAACTGGCTTCTTGAATTTATCTGTGTTTCATATGGCTAATTACAAAGTTGCTGACAAACGTGGTCTGATCGTTTAGAACTACACATTGATTTTTGCATATTTTTGGTAGATAAACACTAGATAATGAAACTTTATTGGCAGACAATACCACTGCATTATGCACTCTAAAAGCAAATTCTGTGTGTGCAGGCACAGCAGCTTTTGTAGAGGGAACAGGAAATGCAACCCAAATTAGCAGGTATGTTCACTTGCTGGAGCAGAAACAACTTTTAGCCTGTGAATAGGTCATGTTTTTGTAAACACAAAAAATGACAGGTAGCCTATGTAACTTGATTCCATGAGAAAATATAACACCAGGACCCCTACAGCCAATGCTGTTTGTTGATCCATGAACTTACTGTGCCTCCAAGTGCCAAAAGCTGAATGGAACGTCAAGAGTTTTAAGCAAATGTCAAATGTTCTTATATGAAGTACATAATACTCACTTTGTCAGTACTTTTGCTTGATCTTGAGCTGTTTTTTCTACTTCTTGCCCATGGAGAATTAATTCTGCTACTTTATGAAGCTGTTCAATACAACGAGCAGTTACCTCAGCTAGACTTTCAATGGACAGCATGTAGATTTCCTTCAAATAAAACCAGGAATAATACAGTCAATAATATCAACACCAATAAATGGAATTCTAAATATATACATATAAAAGAATTTCAAACATAGGAGCTCTCCCCACTCCAACTGGAAATACCACCACATACATAGTGAAGTAACACCAGCTATAATGTCATCCTCACAAACAATACTGGAAAATTAAATATCCACAATTGTATAATACAGACCTTATACTCATCCTGACAAATGAGTAAAAACAAGTATCTCATTTGTTTGGATGGGAACTAGGTCAGGCTCTTGGATTTTCTAACATAGCACTTTTAAATCTAGTCCTAAAATATACAAAGATCCCTAAACTCTAAAATAAGTCATAATCATAATTATTTTCATATGGAGCCAAAAGTACTGAGTCATTCCTCAGATGAATCTCCAGAGCAGAAATGGATAATGTTCCCAATAAAAAAGTGGCTTTTATCAGCAATTATAAGAGTCTCTACCTAGTGCTATGGTGTAAGAGCTCTCACAAGCTGATGCCAGTTGGAAATCTGCAATCACATATAGATCTGTAATATATAGTGTATATAATCTCTGTCTCTTCTTTAGACATTTTTTTGTAAGGAAGCATGACAGATAATTTCTTATTAGAATTAATGACAAAAATCTTGACAAAGATACCAACCACATTTAATATTGCCATAACTTGACAGAAAATATTCAACCACAATTAACCTCATCCACAAGAGGAATTTTCTCAACAAACACAATACTTTTAGCCTTAAGAGCTATCTTTCATAAAGAGAATCAACATTTGTGAGTTGCCTAAATGATAGTTCTGTTTGTGATTCAAACTGTTTATGAGTTTAAATAAATTTTGAACATTTCTCCCATGTATTGTCACTGGGAGAAAGAGATACCAAGCAATGTTGAGATACAATGTGCAATTGACCTAACACCACAGAATCCCTCAGTATGTTGTGTATACACATGAAGATACACAAAAACACAGATATAAAACAATAAAAACAATGGGATGGGCAGAAGACCTGCTACTTTGATATCTACTCATGGAAACAGAGTAACAGTAAGAGTATTTAAGTTTGTCTCCTATGGACCTGCTACTTTGCTATCTACTCATGGAAACAGAGTAAGAGTATTTAAGTTTGTCTCCTATTTGGTCTACAGTGAATAACTGTATATTATTATTTCTTATTGCCTCCATGAGTTTAAAAAATAAGGACAATACATAAAACCAACACACAAAGATATAGAAGGAATCTTCTCTAACAAAGTATGACCATTTACTTAATGAAACTTATCCTCCAAAGGTTATTTTACCTCCACAGTTTTCTTTTTATCTCCTCCCGCTTTATCACTGTCAATTTTATCATCTTTTTCAGTCTTTTCTTCACCAGCTTCTGCAGGTTTTTCTTTCAGTGTCTCATCTATGTCTGCTGGGGGGGAAGAACTGGCTTCCTCCAGCCATTCATGAGCTTTTTTCCTAGCCTGCCAAACACAGAACCCAAACCCAAAGTTCAGTTCAAACAGTGAATATCAGATGAGACTCCTGAACATCAAGTACTTCCTTTTTACATGCAGAAGTCTGAATATATCAAGAGTCTGTGTGGCATTCAGTTAAGTGTATATTTAAGAAACTGTAAGGAGAAGCATTTCTAATTGCATAAAGATGGATCATCTGGGGATAACTCCTCTAACCAACACATGGAGTTGGCATTAATACCAAACATATTCATATTTCAGCTTTATGAGGTATCACTCAAATGGATTTAGATGGAAATTTTTCTTACAGAGTTATTTTCCCAAAGAAAAGAATGAGAAGTGGGTATAGAAAAAGAAAAAAAAATTGGAGAGAGAAGAGAGGTGTACTAAATTCTTCAAGGAAAAATAGAAAATCACCATAACTTGAACTGCCTTTCCAGGCATGAAAGTAGATCAAAGTGGAAAAGTCTTGAAGTTTTCTACAGCCTCAGACTATTGTTATGCTTAGTAGAAAATTTATGATGAGTCTTTTTTAACATGAAGTCAAATTAAAATATGTTAAGGCCTAAGCCTAAGCTAGTTATGCAGAGTCTACGTAGCTAGAGAGATAAACATTCATTTGAGACTAAGATCAGCAGATTAATCACCTTTAAAGGGACCTGATAGTACAAATGTGACCAGCCACATGTGACTTCTAACTTTTAGGTGACTGAAGGCACAAGAGACTGCTCTTAGCAAAGAAGGTCTGCAGAAGTCCCTCAGAAGAACAAACATGTTGAGCAAGAACAATGATTCTGAACCTGACCTTTGTTTCCAGTGTGTAGGAACAAATCTGCTGTGCCCAGGAGTGGTGTTCTGCTGAGACACACCTGGCTCAAGGCTTTCTAAATCCTTTGTGCTAGCTAGTCACTGCAATTGCATTGCTTTACTCATCTCACTTCTTCCATGAAAGCTTTTCTGTATTCATCAGTTTAGTCTCACCTTCCTATACTTGGCTTTCTGAGCTGTCTGAGCTGAGCTAGGTACTGCTCTGTGTCAGATTTCAGAACAAAGCTCTCCCTCTTTGGCCAAGGAACCAAAGGCAGCTCACTGACAGGTGCTAACCTTATTAAGTTTGTCAGGAGTAGCAGCGACGTGCAATTCGAACAGCAGTTCTGTGAGCATGCTGACAAACTCTTCTCCCATATCTGCTGCAAGAAAAAACAAGACAGTTTTTGTTAGGCTGTTACTGCTGTAATATTTAATATGATCAAATACATCCAGTTGAATAGTTTCCCCCAGCATTCCAGCACAGTGACACAGGAAAGGGATATGTGGGTGTGTATATGCTCTAATAAAGAAGAGAACAAGCAACAGGGATACCTGCACAACCAGATATGCCAGCCTGGCACTTCAATTGCTCCTTCTACCCCATTCTAAATTCCACTAAGCTTCACAAAAACAGGTGAGAAGAAACTGCATGATCCCTAGTTATCTGACAAAAAACACAGGATCCAGAAAATAACTAAAGAGATACTAACCCTTCAAAACGAGCAATAAAAACTGCAGCAGGGCCAGATACTAATCAGTTTCAGAAGAAACAAGCTCTTATACTCTTCATACATATTCTGTATTGCTCTGCCTGCAAACCACAGCTAAGATATGTGTTTACTTTTTATTTTAGGGTTGAGATTTGCTTAAAGGAAGAATGTTTTCTGGTTTGCTTTGGAGTGATGAGCCCCAAAGAATTCACACTTTTATTTCACAAGATTTATGAGCAAAGAGAAGTATCACTAGATTCAAACTTCAAACAAAGAATTCTTCATCTGCAATGCCCAAGAGACTGAGCTTTCCTTTTAACACCAAGAAAACAGGTCAAGAAGATTGTGTTCTGGCAGGCCAGAGAGATGCACAGAGTTCAGTTCATTGCTGCCCTTACTAGTACATTTTGGCAATAGGATTTTTGGGCTTTGCAATCAAGTGCCCCTTGGATACACTGTACTCACAAGTTCTTAAAACAATGTCAAGTTGTTTTGTGAACAGCAGCATGCTGAAAACTGATAAGCAGTTCACTGCATCAATGCAAAATTACCAAAATTGTTGATAACTGGCACGTTCAATTGAATACCCATTTTGGTTACCATCTTCCTTACCCTCACATGTGAAATTTTGGGGGTTATGACTTTCAAAATGTAGATAAAGCTACTTTTTCAGCTATGCTCCTCTTATTATTTCATAAACAACTGAAAGGAAAGAAGTTGCAGTGAAAAATACATGAAAGGGTTGCATAATCAAAGTGACAGAAAACATCAGAGAGAAGGGAATGCATGTGGCTTTCTGCTACTTGTGTCAGAAAATACATGTTCCTTTTCTTTCCTATGTATCAAATTTGCACCTATCTGACCGTTAAGCAAAGGCACAAAAAATACTGATTCCAGTTTCAAGTTGCCAAGAATAAAGCCTCTCCCAAATCCTTTCCCAAAACAGTTCTACAAAGATCACTGCAGGAATTTCTCCTTCTGCAGGACTGAAAGAGAGAGAAAACAGAGCAGCACTAACATCTTTGAGTGAGATCCTGAGAGTCCAGGATATGAAGGGACCCTGAGAGTTTACATGAAACAAATAGTCACCTTTTTTCAAACATTGGAATGTAAAATACTGGGTTTTTTTCTACTCTAAGCTTCTTTTTTTCTGAATATATCCAGCACTGATAAATGGCACCATATAAATAACATGACTCGAATGACAAGGAAATGGTAACAAATTAACAGTTAAGTGGTAATTCACTTGTTTTCAAATACTGCTCAGTGGCTAGAGGAGATTTTCAAACCCCATTAGTTAATCTCTTTTTTAGGGGTTTGTCTTCCTTACATAAAGTAAAAAAACCACAGGTTTTATTAAGCTGGGAAGCACAAAACAAAATCATACTGAAGGCAACTTAGCTGTAGTTTTAACCTATTTAGCAAGCAGGATTAAAATCAAAATTCCTCCACAGAATTTAACTTAGTCTGCTATCTCTTGCCAGATTAGCTAGCTTAAGTTAAAATATATAATTCTGTGTAAAAAAAAATGTTATTAAAAGGGCATATGGCTTACTGACTTGCTTTTATAAGTGTAAAACCTATTACTGTGTGTATAGAATTGTAGGCTCAGCCCTAACAGAAAGCTGCTTCGATAAGTGATTAACCTTTCAATTCTTTTGGTGTCCTCTAGTGGAACTAACATTTTTCCAACTTAATACTAATAAATGAAATTTATCTGCCATTCAAATAGAAAGAAATCTTTAGCCTGGTCACAGCAAAGGGTGTGAGTCATTTTGAACTGCTGCCTGAAGTAAGACCCAATGCAGCTGTAAGGGGGAAAGAACATGTGTGTGGTTATTATTTCTGCTGTCATAGCAGAGGATGTGTTTCATTGCTGAATGGTTTGCTTTTGCAAAAAAGGCAAAACCTGCAGCACACTTTGATGTGGTCTCCTTTTTTTTTTTTCTTTTTAATAAAGTGCTCATTGTCTTGGTTCCAGCCCATTCCAAAGGCCAGTAAATGTTTCAAGGAGCATGATCAGCAACTGTGCTTAACTGAAAAAAAACAACTGACCTCCAGAGAAAACAACTCTCTGCAAGTTTCAAGGCAAGGAACTATTTCCCACAGAAATTCAGGAACAACAGACATGAATCCTCACTCCTAAGCAGGGAATACACTTTCTGGACTTACATTTCTCACAACCCCACAGAGGAATGTTTTACTTTCTATATCTCACGCTTCTATGACAATATAAATCCAAAATTAAACATTCATCAGCTTCCAGAACTTTCAGAGTATTAATTTAGTGACTAACTTATGAAGAGCATTAGCATATCAGAAATTATAGTTTGGATTGTAATTTTTTTAAATTATTAGATAAAGAAGCAACAATTATTCATATTGTTAAATCTCTGTATTTCCAATTACCTTTTTGTGCCTGCACCACTTCATCATCTGATTCCTTTGGAACAAAAATCTCCTTTATAGCAATTAAATCATTTTTCACAGTCTCCAACTGTTCTCCGTCAAGTGTTGCTAAATATGACTGAATCTGTAAAAGAAAGGACAGTAGGCATTCCTAATCAAAACAGAGCATTTCTTAAATGTTAATTTAGAGCTTGAAACCAAAATAGGCTAAGAAACAGAAACTCCTGTTATGTTCAAATCTTGTCTAATCTTCCAATGTAGAAATATTTTTAGTTCTCATCAGCAGCATTTGTTGAGTATCACAAAAATTACACCAGCCTTGCCAGATCATCAGGTCTCTACCTTCCCCCAGAACATGAGTTTTCAAGTATGAATCTATGGTTTAATTGCAGACTGTTACAGGCATTTTGGGATTGCTTGGATGAAGACAGCAGGCAAAAAGAGCAGAGGCAGAACAGTTAGCCTGAGCACTCATAGGAAGAGTTGGAAAAAGAAGCCTATTTCCCTTCCTTCAAAATGCAGCCAAAATTATTGACAGTCTACCTGTTTGAATGTATTGACAGGTGTGTGCATGTCTCAGGTATCTGCATATCTAACAATAGGGTGGCACACCTAAGAGGGATGGAAACAGAGTCTTTGGATCACTGTTAGTACTACAGTTACCTGGTGTTAATCTCCTGAGTGCACTCTCTGTGGAAGACAAGAGAAATGCCTTTTCTCCCCTTGATACAAAACTTTTAATGTTTGTTTCAAGGGTTTTTTTAAAGCTTGCTTGACAGATGTGCAGACTACCTCAGTGTGAGACTGGAGAAGCTGCTACCTTCTCACTTATGTGTCCCTGTGTTGACACATCAATTGTTTTCTATCTCTTTCCTGTTTTGTGGGTGGGTTTTTTTGGAGGGATCTTTCATTTTGGTTTGGCTTTTTTTCCCAAAAGCAAGCCCTTGAACCTCACATGTGGGGTTTGAATTTATGGTTTTTCATTTAGACACAATGACAAAAGATAAAAACAACACTGACAGTATGTACCTAACTGTTATCCATAAAAGCTTCTTTTATTTGTGAGAGCAAATAAAACATTTTAAAAAAGAAGTTGTTTAGATTTTATTAAAAGTACCCCACAGGTCAAGGAATGCTAATTACAAAAACAAAAAGATGAAAACTTGCTTTTAAGAAATTTATTCAGAAAACTGTTTCAGTACAAAAAGACTGCTGGGAATCTACAAAATTCTGTTAGTCTACTGACAGAGATCTGCTGATCTACTATCAGAGTCAATAAATTGACAGCTGAAATTAAAATATATATTTATAACATAGGCCTTAGTAACATTACCATGTTCTTCAGAGAGACATTTGTATACTTCCAGTAATAATATCTTAGGGTGGTTTTATGGGACTCGAAGAACTAACACAATAGGAACAGAATAAGCAATCTGGAACTCATTTTAATTTTCTAGCCTCCAGGTGTAGTAGGTCTGGAATTCATGAATGCATTTGTGCCTGATATAAAACCAAAAGACTTCAACCTCCTTGCAAATTCTGCAAGGAAAGTCAAGACATCTGCACAGTGTCACGACCTGAAAAATACACACTTCTTATGACCCTGACAAAAACAACTTTCAGTTATGAAGTTGTTTGCTTTGAGTTAATCTCAGAGTCAAATTTTAGGTGTATTGAGATTGAGTTCCTAAAGCCCAGGACTGGCCCATGGCACCAATCCAGCTCTCTCTGAAGTTGATGGAAAACTTACTGTTCATCCCACATATACCTGCAGAATGAAATTAATGTAAAGATAAATTTACCAACCACATTGATTTATGCTGTTTGCATACTGTACCTGAGCTTCACTTTCATTTGACAGGATTTCCAGAGCTTCAAGATGAGACAAACCTTGGAACTCATCAAAAAGTAGTCCATAATGTGCTGTTCTTTCAGCTGTAACTTGCTGGGCCCGTCTCTGTTTCTCTTTTTCTTTAGCTTCTCTCAGCAGCTGTAAAAATATACATCATCCCTGTTTTATTGATGGTGCTGTAAGTGTGACAGATTTTATTACTGCCTGCTTCTGCTTGGCTAGGAAGTAGTAATAAGATTTGGGAGTATATCACACCTGCAGAGCTAAACTTTTAGAGATGAAATAGCTAACTTGCTTTTTGGTACATTTCTTAATAAAATATTTAAGCAGTATTCTAAGTGGGGTTTTCCCCAATGGTAATTGCTAATCAAATTTTTTTACAAAAACAATGATCAAACAAATAATCTTGCTTCTATTCTCAAAAGCAATGTCAGCTATGGATACCGTGTAATAAGTTTGGACACCAATTAATTGTAAGGAAAGAAAAGTAAAAAGGACTATTTCATACCCAGCTAAAGAGCCATGCAATCCATTCCTCAGACCACAGAATGGGAAATAAATTACTTTCAGGACCTACCTACCAACTTGCATAAATAATGTACCTACAAAAATATTTCCTAGACAATATTTTTAGCAAATACTAAAGTCAGTTTTATGTGACAACAGGACTGACAAAACAGATTGGCCTGATCAGGTATGACTTCTGCCAAAGGTGGGGCAAGAACTACACTCTGTATATTTGGGGATATTCTGGAGTGATCTTATACACTTCTATCAGTGTATAAGAATATCCAACGTATTTTGTTGTATATCCAACATATTTTAGATATGAATAATATGGAGCAAAGTCCCTTATGAACATGAAGACCCTGTCCTACCTAACTGATTTCTAAAATTTTAACACTTGTGATGACTCTGGAACTGTCTACTTAAATACATTTGTTTTTCCTGTGTCTTCCTATTTTTCATGTACACTGAAGAAGAATTTTCACTGGCTAAAGATTTCCACTCCAATCTGGATCTTATTCACTCCTATCAGTGTATAAGAAGGATGGAAGAGTATATCCAATAGGATCTTCTACTCCTTCCTTCTAATCCCAGGAAGAAACAGCCTCTCATATGGATTTGCTACAGTAAAGGTGGTAAATAAGTCTGAACCACATCTTTAGTCACCCACAAGCCTCTGAATACAGGTGAACTCCTGCCACTTACACTATTTCATCGTTCAAAATTTCTACAATATTGTCTTCTGTGACTCATTTATTACGAAGGATTTACGATGGTAGATTTTTTCCTCTGAAGTCTTCACCTTCAAAAATAACTCACAAAGTTTTATGAACAAATCACTGGAAAGGAAGCACTATATTACCTGTGCAACCCATGAGAACTGATTTATGTCATTTTCTGCCTCAGATTTTATGTGCAAATTCATGCATATCATTTAAGATGACATTCTCAAAGACTCATTTGAACCTTGGGCCTTAATAAGAGTTAATTGCTTTTGACCTACTACAACAGTATCAGTCTGTTCACACTTCAAACGAGAGGATCAAACATCTCACTAAAAGAAAAATACCTTACTCCTCTCTCTAAGAAAGTAAATATGCAGCAAAATTAACATGGGGTTTTTTTTTCAATGTCTATTGATTTCTACAGCCTCCTAATGTTTGGAGAGCTAAACTAATTTTGTACTGACAACACTTACACTTCTGTTTTATCCTACCTCTGAACTTTTAAACATATGAGTCACAACTATGTAAAGGTACCATTACTTTAGATGAACACTAAGATACAACTTTTCATAGCTTTAATTCCTAATGTAATGTATATCATATTCCAGTATTACTCATTTCCAAGGAAAGTAGTATAATGGTGTTTATGCTGGAAGATATCTATCCACAGCTGCTACAAAAACACCAAGAATTTGATTCTATCTCCTGGTGTAATGATTTATCACCACATAAACTATCTTACTTAAATCAGCTATTGCACATGTGATTACGCAGAAAAGATGATCTTACATTATCTTTTGTGGTTCTGTGAAGAAAAATAAAGTGGAGCAAATACAAAGCACAATATTTATTTCCATAAGCCTAGCCAATATCTACTGCAATAAATAAAGCCTCTCCCTGAGGCACCTGAAATTCTGGGAAAAGAATCTGAAATTGCGTTGACAGAGCAGTATTTAAATAAATCCAACCTGAGACAGAGAAACTGTTCTTGCCATCAGTGTTTTGGTTCTCTTAAATCCAGGATCACTTTCTGCAAGGACATTCATGGTTGTCTTCCCAATAAATTCCAAAGCATCTAAACCTCCAGATAATACACTTTTCCCCTGTATAAAATAATGCAATGTGGTTATTTTCTACCCACTTTAAGCCAATATCAACTGTAAAGAGTATTGCTTTTGTTGACACCGTCTTTGAACATTCAGGTCCCTCAATTTTCTATGCTTTAACTAACATTAGGAATTATACATTTACTTTGTTCTGATTACATTTTCCAATGGGAAAAAAAACCCCCATAAACTATACAAATACTTCCAGTTAACTAAAAGACTCACAGTGGAGGAAACAACTGCTGCAAATAAAAAAAACGATGAGTAATATCAAAAAAGGGCTGGAGCACCTCTCCTATGAGGACAGGCTGAGAGAGCTGGGCCTGTTCAGCCTGGAGAAGAGAAGGCTCAGGGCAGACCTGGTATGGCTTTCCAGTACATAAACAGGACCTACAGGAAAGCTGGAGAGGGACATTGTGCAAGGACAAGCAGTGACAGCACAAAAGGGAATGCCTTTAAGCTGAAAGAGGGTAGAGCTAGATTGGAAATCAGGAAGAAATTCTTTACTGTGAGGGTGGTGAGGCACTGGAACAGGTTGCCCAGAGAAGTGGTGGATGTCCCACTCCTGTAAATGTTCAAGGCCAGGTTGGATGGGGCTTTGAGCAACCTGATCTAGTGGAAGGTGTCTCCACACAAGAACTGGATGAGCTTTAAGGTCCTTCCCAACCCAAACCATTCTACGATTCTCTGAGGATCACATTAATTTCATCTGATGGCATCCAGTTTGTGGGAACATATTTTAGACAGTAATAATATGGAGCCAAGTCCATCATGGACACGAAGACCCTGCCTTTCCTAAGTGATTTCTAAAATTTTAACACTTGTGATGACTCTGGAACTGCCTATGTAAATCCACTTGTTTTCCCTGTGTCTTCCTATTTTTCATGTACACTGAAGAAGAATTTTCACTGGCTAAAGATTTCCATTTCAATCTGGATTTTGCATCTGTCAGATACTCAAATGCTGATGTGATCTGATATATAATGGGAAACCCTACCAAAGTCTCAAGTGGCACTACAGGCCACTTACTGAGACCTTATGTTATTTTTTTAACACATTCATCACTGTGGTATAGCAGCCACTCTAGGCTGCCTACAATTGTAAAGAAGACTTCCCAAGAATTTGTAGAATAGTTTAGGAGAAGACTGTATTTTTTTTCACTGAAACTGCTGATAAAGTAATAACTGACTTGGTTGTGCTTAATTTTATTTTTTTAATTTGACAGTTTTATTTAACAGTTATTTTGCTGTGGAAGAGACTCTAAATAGACTTAGAACAGAACTGTTTTTCCAAAGACCTACACATGGAAGAGACTCTAAATGGACTTACAACAGAACTGTTTTTCCAAAGACCTACAACTTAGAAAATGTGACCTACAGTGAAGTTGAACCTAAAAATAATGAAAAATAACTAGAGCAAAGAGGCCAGATAAAATGACTCACTGTGTTCTGTACAGCATTAGTTATAGCTGACAGCATGCCACGAGATCCAGATGAAGGAGAAGAAGGAATATTCTCAGAAGTGCTTTGGTCCAGAGAATCTTCTGCTTCTAACAAAAAAAAAAAAACCCCAAACAGGTTACATCACACTTTCAACCCTGCAAGTCACAAACTACAGTGAACTGGTTTCTGTGATCAAAATCTTGCCATTTTGTAAATTGAACTAATTTGGCTGTGTCAAGGAGTTTTGTCCAATTTCAGTGAACTTGAACTTACGTGTGATTGGGGTTTCAGCTGCAGGAGGCTCTGCTGTTTCTGAAGATGCTGAACTTGTGCTGTGAATCCTTAGGGTAGTTCCTGCTTTTTCCTTTACTGCTGTTATCCCATGACCTGCAGCAGAGGCATATTTTAGATTATATAATCTGAAAATTTATTGCTAACAGTGCACAGTATTCTTATACTCCATGACTTATGACAGTCAAAATAACTACTAAACTTGCCTGAATTACTTAATTTTTTCTAGGTTAGTAATTCAGTTGTTCTACTATATCCAGTATATTAACTGACTAGAAATGCTGAATCTGAAAAGGAACACTTGTTTCAGTGACACACATAAATTTAGTTCCCTGCTTTACAAAATGCTAAATATTCTAATGCAATTAGTTTAAACAGAAATTGATAGTCCTCCTAAGGCCGTAGGGTTTGACCTCATCTAGTTTTCAGAATTCTAGAACAATTCACCCAAAATCAATCCACTGTATGTAACTGCAGGGCTGAGGTAAGGGATTTGTTCTTCAGTCTGCTGCACTGGTGCTATGGACTTACTTGAATCACTATTAATTGTGCTTTTAAATGAATGGAATAGATACTCCATGTCACAGGCCTATCCATTTCATCTAAAAAAATACAATGGTCCTGCAATTATATAAAAGAAAACTATGAACAGTGAGCAAAAATTTCAACTGTGTGCAAAAGTTACAGGTTTTCAGATTAATTTCCCCTTTTTTTCCTGTATCTAAACATTTAAAAGACAATTTTATAGCCTTCAATTGTTTCTCATAGTTTTGCAGACAAGCTAATACTTCCAAGAAGAGAAGGCACACAATACAGTTGCTGTATTGGTGTTTACAGACTTACAAAAAGCATTTTCAGGGCTGTGGTTACACACACTAGAATGACAAGAAACTACTCCAGGTCGGCTAGGGGTGGCTTTGCTGAGCTAAGCTGCATGGCACATATGTCTGACTACAACAGCAAAACCAGATGTGATCAGAAAACCACAACTGAAGCAAATCAGCACTGTTAGATACACAAATGTGCACAAGCATGGTAAGAGGTGTGTGTTGCTTTGGAAATGAAAATGGTTATCTGTAATTTCAAAAGGCACAGAAATAAGAGAAGTCCTGGGAGATAAACCTAATTTTAGAGATAAAGTTACAGTGGTTTTGTTACTCTGGGTGTGGTAATGCAACTGAGCTGATACTGTAAACTTAGGAACACCTCTGACATCTCCCTTTACTCATCTGTAACAGCAGAGACAGAAGAGCTGCCAGGGTATTGTTAACTGTGCTTTTGGAAGAAAGCATGTTTTTTTCCCCAGTGTTGTTGCTTTTGTTTATCTTGCCTCCATGATTCCTTGCCTTTCTACTGGCTGGCAATTTCAACAGAATATTGTTGTTCCCATTGCTAGCTGGGAACTTTCATTTGAAAAGGAAGGTTTTGCAAGCATTGCCTAACAACGTGACCTGCCTTTTAGTTAGCCTGATCTGCCCAGGGCCAGGTTACAGCACTCAGAGATGCTTTTATCAGATACATCCCACTTCACTGTAGGCTCCCTTATCTTCCACCTCCCAGCTTAGCAGCTTTGGATTCCCTGCAGAGCTGAAAGAGGCCAACAGACACCTCTGGAGGGCAGTTCAGCATCTCTGAAACCTAAACCACTCTCTGTAGGAATTGCTGTCCATTTAGTACTCCCAGGCAACTGGACTCCCTGACACAGTGGTACAGACAGGGAGGAAAGGTTTGAGATTTGGTCCCTGGCTACCACACAGCCTTTGTAACCTTTTAGTTACTTTTACTGTGTAAGAGGTATTGACAGATGTTAGTCTTAGCAATGGCCCTAAAGGTAAAACCCCCTAAACTTACACGGAGTGAAGCACATGCATATAGAGAACAGACCTTGCTTGGAAATGTAGCATGTTGAGCATCATAACTTCAGCACCTCATGAGTGCCCTAACTCACCCAAAACAACACAGCATATGAAAGGCAAGGCCTGTAGAAGAAGGCAGGCACTTTCATTAAGCTAGCAGATGTCTTAGTTGGAAGAAAACCCAAAGAGCTTTCAAGCATACAAGCTATTTTAAAAACAGAAGTCACAAGTTACCAGTAGAGACTGAAAATATTTTTGTTTGCTGTTAGAGCTAAGCTAACCTAATGGTTTCTTGGTGCAGGTATGGGAGGTTCTGCTCCTCATATTCCATACTTGTCCCTTCCACTTGCCCTGACACAGATCTCAGAGTGTCAGTTCAAGGAACTGAAGAGGCAGAAAATGGAATTTTCTTTCTTCTACAGTTATCTTTATGTCAGTTTAGCTTCCTCAACTGGACTTCAGGGAGCTCAGAGGAGCATAAGGGAAAAGAAAGCAACATGCAAGGAAAAGACAGTTGTGGGACTGTATATTCCACTGGCTACCAGCCATTAGATTGCCTTAGCTGCAATAGGAACTCATTGTTAGAGGAGAATTCTATCAACACTGTTACTGAAAGACTGGATGATGTAATTGCTGATTTACTAAAAGATAGAATTTAAAAGAGACTAAAAGGGTGACAATTATTATGACAAGTTGTCTCTCTAGATGACAGTGAACCTACTTGTCCTATTTCATCATCCCAGCAAGTATTTCAGTGGTTCTACTCCACTGCTGTTCCACAAGAGGGGGAACCAAATTTCTTGCATCTCCTGAAAACAAAAGAAATCTCTTCACGTCATTGATGAAGCAGATTCAATAGCTTTCTTAGGGTGACATCTAGCGCCAGACACTGCACATGGTTCAGGCAGTGACTGCTACTAATCCAAAGGCATTACAGAATCTCTAGAGTATCACATCTGCCTCGTGGCAGGGACCTTGATCCAAATAACGTCAAAATCAGTTCAAAGACAATGGAAATTTTCTTTAGAATACAAAGCTATCACCGAAACAATCCCTGGCTATATGTGCAAAGTTAGATAAAGAGATGTAAGGTACAAACTGTATAGAAACTGCCTTATTATTAGGAACTAAAATCAGCTATGCTAAACAAATGATAGCCTTGCAGTAAAAATGCTAATCTGTTTGTGAGCTCTGTATCAGTGTCTGAAAGATAATAAAACTGAGATTCTTGGAACAACCATTTCAACTCAGTCCTAAATAAGCAGGAGTGTAAAAATATTATTTACGGTAAGAATCATCATTCATTGGAACAACCTCCCTGGGAATCTGGTAGGAAATATTATTTACAGTAAGAATCATCATTCACTGGAACAACCTCCCTGGGAATCTGGTAGAATACCCATTGCTGGTTTTCAAGACCATTGAGTCCAACCCTACCGTGGTTACTAGACCATGGCATTAAATGCCTTCTTCAAGTCTGAAGGAGAAGGGCTGAACTATCAGGTTAAATACAGGTTGAGAACACTTCTGTTCCACAGATAGTTACTCTGCCCCCATCACCTTGTTCTGTGTGTTCCCATCATTTCCCATTTGGTAGTGTCTGAGTGATCAAATGGTGAGCCAGATTAGGGAATTTACAAACTGATCCAGTTGAAGATCTAATTCTTACTTCAGCTGCACTTTCCAAAATGTGTCCCATAAACTAGCTCCTCCCATCACTACATGAAGGCTACTGTTAGCACAAGAGAAGGAAGAAATATTCCTTTCAGCAGCAACCTCCATTTATATAAATTTAAACACATCTTAGAAACCCATTCTGAATTTAACTAGAAATGCTAATTGATTGGATTCTCTGAAAGAGAAGGTAGTTATGTACTCCTGAATGTGGATGTTACTGAAAAAAACTTCCCTCCTTCTCTGAGAAACAGAGAATATGCTTAAATATGTTGTTCTACTCTCTGAAGTCTGGTGTGACAGCTTAACAGGGTGGCAATGAAAGCTGGAATGATTTATGAGAAGTGAATTCACACTGCATGGGTAGAAGTCATGGTGCATAAGCCACTAACCTGCATGAGCACAAATCTGGGTTGGAGTGCTTTGACTTCAGAAACCATAAGCCTTTGGCTGATTTTAACTGTATCAGATTATGGATCCTTTCTGAGAAGATACCACAATGAGGTAATTCACTAATTTTATGAACAAGCCAAGCACCTTGTCCATAATTTTGCCCAAAGAATTATTTTTGTGCTTTGACAGATTACAAAGGTCCATCTTCCTATTAAAAAAAAATCATGCTTCCCAAGTGTATCAGGACAAAACTGTCTATGAAGCATCAATAAGCAACAATGAATTATTTCTATGCACTTTACTGATTGAGCACTTACCCACTGTGGCAGAAGCTGATGACAGGAGAGATTTTCCCCAGGTACCCCAAGCTCCCCATCTACTTGCTTTAGATGAAGAGTCTGTGGTCTGTAAGAACAAAAATGTTACTCCACAGATGTTACTTCCAGAGAAATTAAACTGTTTCTAGTTTACAAAAGCTTGGTGGTGTGACTTAATTAATTTTATCCCTGTGCAGGGTTTATACATACAACTCCCTAGGGTTTTGTGAAAAACAGTACATACATTGTACAAAATTCTGTCCTTACAGATGCAGGGAGGGGAGGGCTGTTACAGAAAAGAAAGTGTTACTTACTGGACTGCTTTGTTCATGCAGTGCTTGCTCAGATTCAGGTTCTGCATCAAGGCTTACAGTTTCAATGCACTCAGTGTGCACGTCTTCAGTTGCCTCTTCACTGGAAGGCAGAGTTTCAACTATTTTTTCAGTCAAAGGGTTTTCATTAAGTAATATGTCTCCTTCTTGTCTATTACTGCCACTCTGAGAGACCTGTCCATGTTCATCTTGTGAAGACTCAGGCAAGATTTCAGCTTCTACGAGGTGTGACACTGATTCATGAGGCAATACCTCATTGCTGGGCATTTTCATTATTTCAGGTTTTTCTTCAGGTGGGATGTCATCAGATATGTCTTCAGACATTTTCAGTTCTGAATATAGAAAGTAAAGTCAGTTTCCATAAACATTTGGATGACTAAAATACAGTGTTTCCCATATGCTACTGCTGAAAAACAACAAACCTTGATGTAAGGCCTCCTAAAGAATGGAACCCTGTGGCACATGCATCATGCTGGCACAGGTAGCATGATAATACTCTGAAGACTCTATGCACTTTGCAGGATCTCACTCAAGTATGAAGAGCATCATTACTGTTTTCCAAACTATGGTTTAGTGAGGGAGAAAGGATGTTCATTTTCTGAAGAAGTCAAATATAAGAGCTTTCACATGGTTAATTTCTCTACTCCCTGCAATAGCCAAGCAGCTCTTGCTCTCTGTCATCACTGCTGCATACACAGGTTCCTGTAGCCTGCTGACTGATGGAGAGGAGGATGACACTGTGTGACTAAAGGGTGATATTTCTGTGTTGGAGAAGGCATAATTTGAAAACATGACAGGCCGTGGTCCCTGCAGCCATTTCATAGACATTCATGGCTCACAGCATTTCTGCATCACTTGTCTCAAAGGCCTGGAGAGTGAAATGCTTCTCACCTGCTTCTAAAGTTTCAGCTGTGTGATTAAACTTCAGTGTTAAAGCCAAGGTAAGCTTGAGGTGCAATTACTGATGTCTTTTTTGTACATTACAAACCAGTTTTCTTTTATTTACTCCAACGTAATTTTCAAGGTATTTTCCACCACTGTGCAGTGATCAGGGTGAGGATTCAGGAAGGCAAAGAAATAGTCATTGAGCAAGCTCTGCAGCTGAGTAAGGAGTGGCACTGGCAGAGTCCAAAAGGACTACTATATAGTGATCACTACCACTCATTGGCAACAAAAGTATACTTCGCACTCAGAAAACAACCCTTGACAGCTTGCAAGCTCCTGACTATACACTGAATTGCATGGCATAAAATAAACTCATACAGTCCTCTCTAGATCTTGTCTTTTCATTGACTCCCATATTAATTAAATATGGTTTAAAGCTTTGAACCTGTCAGGAAGAACTGAGATTCTATGAGAGACTGAAGAACAGGGTGGGGGGAAAAGGCAAAATATAACTGAGATATAGGAGAAATCTGTCCCAGAATGGCTTTAGCAGCCTGTTTATCTAACTTGAATGTAGATCAGCTGTTCCAGGAACAGCATTTGAGACCAGTGAACAAGAAACATAAACAAATAAACACTTGGTATCACTTATATTACTTCAGCTTACACTGCACCTTAATTATCTTCAGAAAACATGCATTTACAAGTCTGAATCCTTGCATTTGCCACAAGCATTTGCAGTTTGCCATGACAAACATAGCTTGTACTTTAAAGTGTGTTAGCATAGATAAATCTTGCCATTGTTTTAAGAGAACTCAATGTGTGATGGGCAGCATCACCTAAAGAAAATATTTGTATCTGTAAACCACATTCCACCATCAGATACGAGGATCCTCTACCAAAACCTGTAAAATCTGTTCACACATGCTTCCTAATTTTTGCACGGAGATTAGCTCCGTGTAAACCCAGCACTTTTTGAAGGATCACACAGACATAAGCCCATGAATTTTTGCAGAACTGAGTCATCTTGGGGGACCACTCGGGCCACAGTCCCTGCAGGGGTTTGCTAAACTTTCCTTACAAGGAGCAAAGGCACATGAACAGCAAATTCCCGCGTCAGTCAGAGCACTCGGTAAGGCATCATTCAGCCTCTCATCCGTGAGACTACACTGAGCCAAACCACCTCGGACAACTGCGCCCAAAGGGAGTTACTCTGCGGGGAGTTCACGGGGGAGATGCCGAGGGCAGGTCCAGCCCAGGGGACAGAGAGAGCCGCGCCCGCCCCGACCGGCAGCACCTCGGGGGCAGCGGGACGGGACCGGGACCGGGACCGGGA